TGGAAAGATGGCGGGGAGCATCGAAGTGCTGACGGTCAGGAGCTTTGGCTCAGTGTTTCGCGCCGCCGGCTCTGGCCCACCGCGATTCGGCGCGACAACCTAAGCACGCCCCAGTCCCCAGGCATCAACGCTCTGAGCTTTCCCCAGCCTCCCGCCCCGCGAAGCGGAGCGACACGCTACCAGCGCGCAGGGCGTAGCATAACGCCCGGGCCGCTGCCGCAACACGCTAAGCAAAAGTTCCCGACCATAGGAAGCATTGGGCCTCGTGAAGCTTGCAGAGGCCTCCATGGACCTCCAGGAGGCGCTGCTTGCACGAGCGCCACCTCGTCGTCGTCGTCGTCGTCGTCGTCGTCGTCGTCGTCGTCATCGCCTTCGTTGCTCTGCAGCTCTCCAGGGAGAGCCCTCGTCGCCACGGATGGCGCGTGTGGACGGACGGGCCGGGATTGAGCCCAGGACGCATGCGAGGATCGGTGTTGGGCCGAGTGCGTTCGCGCACGCACGCCTGCGTCCGCACGTGGGGCCCGTCCTCTCGCGTGATATTTGGCAGGCCGCACGGGTCCCCCGCTCGTTCCCGCCCCCATCCCGCCTCGCCCCCCCAGGCTAAAATCAAGCGCACAGTCTTCGTTCGAGCTTCGACTCGGCTCCTGGCAGGAGTAATGCGTGCCACACGTCGCCAGGATGTATCTGGTGTTCTTCTCGCAGGCCCCCCCCCTTCGAATGTGCTGCACCGAGCGGATCTACGCTCGAGGTGGTGGTTCAGGGCGGCCGCTCTATGCGAACGGGCGCTGGTGGGCTGGTCTCCCCCTTTCTGAGTGTGATCCCTGTTCTCGAGGCTCGGTGGTCGAGGAGCATCGAGGGTCTTGCTTCTGACATGCTTCCAGCGACTTTCGGAACCTTTGATGCCCCGTCGCGAGGGTTATGGGCACGGACACGAGGTGAAGAACAGACCGCCCATTACTTGTGTCTTTCCTTCAAATAACGCGGGGGGGAAAAACTACCCGTCACCCAGGCGCGACGGGTTGGGTCCTTTTATTCCTTCCATCGGAGCCCCCAGAGACTTCCGGCGTCCTCAGAACGCTTCCGAAACGAAAGCGTCCGAAAACTTCCCGAATACAACAGGAATTTGTCCGATGATCTCCACAAACCTCCTGCAAATATTCAACGAAGTCCAACAACACTCTCAGACATCTCCAGGACACCCCGCGAAGCCTTCCGAAAGCATCCTCCAGATAACCTCCGAGGGCCTCCAAGGGGATAGACCTCCAGGGCGAGAGTGGAGAAGGACAAGTAATACCTATACGACCACCTTTCGGGTGATAAGGAGGTTCGGAGGGGGGGGAGGAACCAACGTCTCACTCGATCGGTCTCACTATCGATCTCACTATCGGTCTCGCTCGATCGATCTCACTTGATCGATCTCACAATCGATCTCACTCGATCTATTTCATTCGATCGATCTCACAATCGATCTGACTATAAATCTCACAATCGATCTCACTATCGATCTCACAATATATCTTGCATTCGGTCTCACTATCGATCTCACTATCGATACCACAATCAATATCACAATCAACGTCATCATCATCATCAACATCATCGCCACCAACGTCATCAACAACATCACCATCATCATCATCATCATCATCATCATCATCATCATCATCGGGACACAACCATCATCAGCATCAGCTCATCACCATCATCATCATCATCATCATCACCATCATCATCATCATCGGGGCACCATCATCGGCACCATCATCATCAACACCAGCATCATCGGGAAACCATCATCATCATCATCAACACCAGCATCATCGGAACACCACCATCATCATCGTCATCATGCCATCATCCTCATCATGAACAGTATTACCAACATCATCATCATCATCATCATTATCGTCGGGACACCATCATCATCATCAGCACAGCAACATCATCATCAGCATCATCATCATCGGGACACGACCATCATCGCCACCAGCATCACCATCACCATCATCATCATCTGGACACCATCAACATCAGCATCATCATCATCGGGCCACCATCATCAAAATCAACATCATCACCTCACCATCATCCTCATCATCAGCATCACCATCATAATAGGGACACCATAATCGCCATCACCATCATCAACATCTCATCATCACCGGGGCACCATCATCATCATCACAATCATAATCAACAACAGCATCATCAACCTCATCATCTTCATCATCGCGACACCATCATCTTCACCATTATCATCATCTCATCATCTCATCATCTTCAACATCATCAGGATCATCAACATCATCATCATCATCATCGGGACACCAGCATCATCAGCAGCAGTATGAGCATCATCAACATCATCATCATCGGGACACCATCATCACCACCACCATGACCATCATCATCATCACCATCATCGCCATCACCATCGGGACACTATCATCGTCACCATCATCATCATCATCATCATCAACATCACCATATTCGGGACACCACCGGCATCATCACTGGAACACCACCATCATCATCATCATCACATCATCATCATGAACAACAGCATCAACATCATCATCATCGTCGGGAAACCATCATCAAAATCAACATCATCACCTCATCATCATCCTCATCATCAGCATCACCATCATAATAGGGACACCATAATCGCCATCACCATCATCAACATCTCATCATCACCGGGGCACCATCATCATCATCACAATCATAATCAGCAACAGCATCATCAACCTCATCATCATCTTCATCATCGCGACACCATCATCTTCAACATTATCATCATCTCATCATCTCATCATCTTCAACATCATCAGGGTCATCAACATCATCATCATCGGTACACCAGCATCATCAGCCGCAGTATCAGCATCATCAACAGCATCATCATCGGGACACCATCATCACCACCACCATGACCATCATCATCATTACCATCATCACCATCATCATCATCATCGGGACACCATCATCGTCACCATCATCATCATATCATCATCATCATCATCGTCAACATCACCATATTCGGGACACCACCGGCATCATCACCGGAACACCACCATCATCATCATCATCATCTCATCATCATCATGAACAACAGCATCAACATCATCATCATCATCATCATCGGTACACCAGCATCATCATCAGCAGAATCATCATTACCAACATCATCATCATTGGGACACCATCGCCATCGTCACCATCGTCATCACCACCATCATCACCATCGGGACACCATCATCATCAACATCAGCATCACCATCATCATCGGGCCACCATCATCAAATCATCGTCACCACCTCATCATCCTCATCATCAACATCATCATCATCGGGGCACCACCATCGACATCATCATCAACATCATCATCGGGGTACCAGCATTATCACTAGCATCTTCATCAACAGCATCATCATCACCAACTTCATCCTCATCGGGACACCATCATCATCATCCCCATTCTCGTCATCACCATCATATCATCCCCTCACCAGCATCAACACCATCAGGATCATCGACATCATCATCGGGACACCATCATCACCATTATCAGCAACACCAGCATCATCAGCATCATCATCATCGGGAAACCATCATCATCACCACCATGGCCATCATCATCATCAACATCGTCATCATCATCATCGGGACACCGACGGGACACCGGCGGGACACCGCGCGCCACCGGGCCCCGGACAGGAAACATTTGGTCCGGCCGCGCCTCAGCCAGAGAGTGATACTTCTCGCCCGCCCACGCAGCTTCGCCTCGCCCGCACTCACGGCACGCACGAACACGAAACCGAAACCGATTTCCCGGTAGGGGGGCTCTCCGTTCCACTTCGATCTCACCCCTCACTTCCGATCAGAAGCGCATTTTTCCCAATATTACTTCAAACGAGTTGTGGGTGGACAGGGAAAAAAACATGATGTCCGCCTGGGCCCCCGTCGGACGACCGGAAATGCGAGCGCAGTGGCGCGCGAAGTCGCGTGCGACACGCCGCTGGTAATAACGTGAATGCGCGAGCGTCGCGACGACGACGACGGCGACGGAGACGACGACGGCGGCAGCTGCGCCGACTGCTCCGACGACGGCGGTAACGGCGACGGCGGCGACGGCGAACATCGCGGCGACGGCGGCGGCGGGGCCCAGGCCCACGGGCGAACTTGCGCCCCGCCCTGGCTCCTGGAGCCCAGCGCCAGAATTTGTTATGGGAGGAGCGAAATTCTGCGCGCAGATTTACCACAGCCCTTTCGCCAACGTTGCTAAAGCTCTCCTTTCGCTTTAGTGAAAATTGTCGTTTTTTTTTCCTGCGGCGCGCCTTAACCAAAGCCGCTTCCTCGCTTTCGTAAAGCCGCTTCCTCGCTTTAGTGAAGCCGCTTCCTCGCTTTCGTAAAGCCGCTTCCTCGCTTTAGAGGAGGCCGTGCTTGTGGGCGAGGGGGCCCTGTCTTTCCTGCCAATTCACCGCGGCGACAGGAGACTCAGGGCGCGAGCGCAGGACGTGGCTCGACAATTCGGACGCGCCGCCGCAGTCGCTGCGCAACATAGCAACAGCACTTTGCTAAAAGGCTTGTTTCCTTTAGCAAATAGCTCCGTTAAAGTAATAGTGTGGATGTTTCCCGTTCCAACACTAGAAAGGAATAACCAATAACGAGATGAGGGGAAAGTGGAATGCAGAGGATGATGAGGAGGAGGAGGCAGGAGGAGGAAGAGGAAAGAGGCCAACGTGATGGAGGAGGAGAAAGGAACAGAAAAATGAAGGAGGAAGGAGGAAAGGACGGAGGAGGAGGAGGAGGAGGAGGCGGAGGAGGAGGAGGAGGAGGAGGAGGAGGAGGAGGAGGAGGAGGAGGAGGAGGGGGGTGGGGGGAAAGGGAAGGAGGAGAAGGAGGAACCGGATGGCAGGAGGCGAGACGGGGCCGGGAGGAGGAAGGACGAGGAGGGGCGAGGAGGGGGGAGGGGAACGGGGCACACGAAGCCCGAGGCCCGAGGGCCTGAAGTTCACCTCCTGCGTGGGCATCGGCGGCAACACAGCCAAGGCGCCCGGCCGCGAGCGCGGGCCCGAGCTACGGGGCCAAAAAAAATACACCACCACCACCGCCACCACCGCCACCACCGCCACCTCCCTGACCCCAGCCCTGTCCCGGGAAAGAGGTGGGGAGGAGGAGGGTCGAGGAGGGAGGGTAGATTCGAGGAGGGTCGAGGAGGGTCGAGGAGGGTCGAGGAGGAGGGTCGAGGAGGGGTCGAGGAGGAGGGTCGAGGAGGGGTCGAGGAGGGAGGTGGTGGTGGCGCAGAGTCTTGGGGCCCCCACGAGCCACGCGCGCGCGCGGCACGGCGGTCGGCTGGCTGGCCGAGCGGGTGGTCGGGGCGCAGGCAAAACAGCGAGGGCCGGCCCCAGACATGCTCGCGTCGGCAAGAGAGCAGGACGAGAGGTTCTCTGCCGCTTGCGGCCTCCAGGGGCCCTAACCGAGCCATAGGACCGTCCTGAGTGCTGCTGCGAAGCCCTTCGGCCAGAGCGTCAACTCACACATTTAACCATGACGGCACAATTTTTTCCAGCCACAGCTTCCAGCAGCAAGCGTCCAGATGCCTGCCACGAGGTGCGAAGGCGCCCCGAGATAGTTCAGACAGCTTCCGTGCCGCTGGCGATGCTGTGACTGTTCCCAACCATCCTGTGGTGCTGGGTCGTCGTTTTGAAGAGACAGCGCCCCGCATCCCTCCCGCCTTTTCCTCCTCCTCCTCCTCCTCCTCCTCCCTCTCCTCCCTCCGTTTCAACAACCCAGTACACTCGTGGCCCAATAGGGAGCTCCACCGAAGGCCCGAGTGGCAAGGTTCGCATGGTGGCCCCGCCCCATTTTGGCGCACTCCTCACACGGTTCGTGGCCCCATAGGGAGCTCCACCGAAGGCCCCAGTGGCAGGGTTCGCATGGCGGCCCCGCGCCATTTTGGCGCACCCCTCACACGGTTCGTGGCCCCATAGAGGGCTCCACCGAAGGCCCCAGTGGCAGGGTTCGCATGGCGGCCTTGTTCGTTTTGGCGCACCCCTCACGCGGTTCGTGGCCGCATGGGGAGCTCCACCGAAGGCCCCAGTGGCAGGGTTCGCATGGCGGCCCCGCGCCATTTTGGCGCACCCCTCACACGGGTCGTGGCCCCACAGGGGGCTCCACCGAAGGCCCCAGTGGCAGGGTTCGCACGGCGGCCCCGCCCCATTTTGGCGCACCCCTCACACGGGTCGTGGCCCCACAGGGGGCTCCACCGAAGGCCCCGGTGGCAGGGTTCGCATGGCGGCCCCGCCCCATTCTGGCGCACCCCTCACACGGTTCGTGGCCCCATAGGGAGCTCCACCGAAGGCTCCGGGGGCAGGGTTCGCACGGCGGCCCCGCCCCATTTTGGCGCACCCCTCACACGGGTCGTGGCCCCACAGGGGGCTCCACCGAAGGCCCCAGTGGCAGGGTTCGCATGGCGGCCCCGCCCCATTTTGGCGCACCCCTCACACGGTTCGTGGCCCCCCATTGGGAATTCCCCTTGCTTTGTCCCACCTGCCCTGCGGTTCTCACACTTGCGTATGGTTGGGTCTTTCGCAAGGATAATTGTCTTGTTCATTGTTTTGCCTATCGGCGCGGACCCTCGTACCCCCCCCTCCCCCCCATGGAGCCGATCTCGGCTGTTTTTGGTGCATGCTTCGAGCAGGTGGAGCTTCCCCCACAGGACGCACTGCTGCAAACAGTCGCATGAAGCAGAGGTCCAGAGCCAGACCCCCCCCTCCCCCCCCTTCCGCCCAATGTCGAAACGCCAAATCAGAAAACATTCGCGGTGCGATGAGGAGGCGGTCCGGGGAGAGGGTCGGCAGGTCGGGAAGCCCTCATGGAACAAATCAGGGCAGCGCGCGTCTGGGGCCCCAGCGGGTACGGGGTCTCAGCTGGTCCCCCTTGGCTGGCCCGCGGGGGGGCCACGGCCACGTGGAGCCGACCCCCCCATCTTGTCCCAGGGTTCGAGCTACACGGCGTTTTGGCGATCTCGAGGACTATTTTCATTTTGCTTCCGTTTCGCAGCAGAGGCAGAACGAAGACAGGACGACGGAAAGCCACAATTATTCTGGCGACGGGCCCCACCACATGAAGTTGCGGGTGCCGCGGGCGCGCCATGCGGACCCTGCCACTCGGGCCTTGGATGGCGCTCCCTGTGGGGCCACGGCACGTGTGAGGGGTGCGCCGAATCGGGGGCGGGTAGGCCATGCGGACACCGCCGCTGGGGCCTTCGGTGGAGGTCCCTGTGGGGCCACGAAAAGCGTGAGGGTTGTGTTGAATCGGGTGCGGGTACGCCATGCGGAACCTGCCGCTGGGGCCTTCGGTGGAGCTCCCTATGGGGCCACGAAACGTGTGATTCGGACCCTGCCGCTGGGGCCTTCGGTGGAGCTCCCTATGGGGTCACGAAACGTTTGAGGGGTGTGCCGAAACCGGTGCGGGTATTCCATGAGGACTCTGCACTAGGGCCTTCAGTGGAACTCCCTGTAGGGCCACGAAGCGTGTGAGGGGTGCGCCGAATCGGATGCGGGTATGCCATTCGGACCCTGCCGCTGGGGCCTTCGGTGGAGCTCCCTATGGGCGACGGCACGTGTGATGGGTGTGCCGAATCCGTTGCGGGTGCTCCATGAGGACCCTAGCGCTGGCCGTCGGTGGAGCCCCCCTTTGGGGCCACGAGACGTGTGAGGGGTGCGCCGAATCGGAGGCGGGTACGCCATGCGGACACTGCCGCTGGGTCCTTCGGTGGAGCTCTAGATGGGGCCACGAAACATGTGAGGCGTGAGCCGAAACCGGTGCGGGTGCTCCATGCAGAACTTGCCGCTTGGGCTTTCGGTGGAGCCCCCTTATGGGGCCACGAAACGTTTGAGGGGTGGGCCGAATCGGGCGCGGGTCCATTCGGACCCTGTCGCTGGGGCCTTCGGTGGAGCTCCGTTCGGGGCCACGAAAGCGTGTGAGGGGTGTGCTGAATCGAGTGCGGGTGCGCCATGCGGACCCTGCCGCTGGGGCCTTCGGTGTATCTCCCTATGGGGCCACGAAACATGTGAGGCGTGAGCCGAATCCGGTGCGGGTACTCCATGCGGAACCTGCCGCTTGGGCTTTCGGTGGAGCCCCCTTATGGGGCCACGAAACGTGTGAGGGGTGGGCCGAATCGGATGAGCCGTCTTGTGCCATCGTGGTGTCATCTTGGCTGCCTTGAAAGCCGTCCTAGAGGCTAGGAGGCTCGCAAGAAGGCTTTAAGGCATATCAAGAGAGCCGAAGACGGCCCAAGAGGTCTCCAAGAGTCCTTCCTGGAGAGCACCAGGAGGCCAAAGACATTGAAGCTTCTTAGGTATGAAGAGATTCTGAGGATCTGTCAGGTTTGGGCTTCCGAACGCCCGAGGACCCCCCAAGAGACCTCTCTGGGCCGTCTTATTGCTTTGGGAGCGCTTCAAACCCGTCTTAGGGCCGTCTTGGGAGACCCTTGAACAACATGTGGGTCCGCTTGGCCCGACTTCGGGCCCGCTTGGGGGGCCTCTCGGGCTGCCTGGAACTATCTTGGAACATTTTTGAGGCATCCTGGGCCGTCTTGGGCGGCTGGACTCCCGATCAGGCGAGAACCTCAAAATCGGTTGAAGCCCCCTCGCTGTCCAGGAAGGCCTTCTTAGGAGTTTCTTGGACCATCCTGGCGGCCTCTTAGGCGGTTCTGAGGCCCTCCTGGGGGCCTCCTGGGCCATCTTGAGAGGCTCTTGAGCTATGGGTCATCCTGCGCCGGTTTGTTATCGTTCTGGCTGTCTTGTAAGCCGTCTTGGAGGCCATCTTGATCACCTGGAGGCCGAAAAGACCACCAGAAAGTAATGTCAGAGGAGGCGATGTTCAAACCACGCGCGCGTGGAGAGGGGGGGTGTTCAGAAAACTCAAAATAAACCTCCCAGACAACAGACGCGCATTCGAACACACCCACGCCGTGCAGGCACGGCGGCGGATTGCAATCCCATTGCATTGGTTCGCATTGTGTTGCTATCGCAGTTCGTCGCAATCGCATTGCGTTGCATTGCTTTGCATCGCATAGGATGGGTTTGCATAGCTTTGCATTGGTTTGCGTTGCATTGCTTTGCATTGCTCTGCATTGTTTTGCTTTGCATCGTTTCGCATTGGCGTTGCGCCGCATTTCATCCCATTGCATTGGTGTCTATTGCTGTGCATTGCCTTGCATCGATCAGCATTCCTTTCCAGGTTTTGCATTGCGCTGCAGCGCGGTACAATGCTGCGCATGGCGTTGCATTGCTTTGCTGCGCTGCCTTGCGCGGCGCTGCTGTCCATTGATCCGCATTGTCTAGCATTGCTTTGCTTTGCGCGACAGGTTTCACCGCATGAATTGCAAGAAACCTTGGAGGGTTACGCTGGCGAGCGCTGACTATATATATATATATATGCATATGTGTATGTATACATGTGCATGTGTAGATGCATATGGTATTTATATATATATATATATATATATATGTGCAGGTGCATACACACGTGTCAACATAAATGCCCGCATCCATACATACATATATACATACATACATACATACATACATACATACATACATACACACACATACATACACACACATACATAAATACATACATACATACATACATACATACATACATGCATCCATACATGCATACATACGTACATACATACATTCACACATGCATACATACGTACGTACATACATACATACATATCGACTTACACGTGCCCACGTAACGGTGTAGTTACATTCATGTATGCGTACATACATGTATCACCCATGTGTCTGCCGTTATGGTTTACATGTACGTGTAGATGTATCGTCGTTTGTGTGCACATCGAATCATGTATTAGTCTCTGGGTCGTGTCCTTGTTCTCTCCCTCTCTCTCTCTCTCGTTCTCTCTTAATGTTTCTCTATTGTCCTCGTTTTCTTTATATGTACCCTTCTTCTTACGTGCTGGTATTGGGTCACTGCTCAACATCCCGTGTCCAGCTCTCGATCCCCAACGCGTTTATCCTGAACCTGGACAGCGGCTTCCTGAAGGAAAAGACATTTGCATTCCAGGCGGGCTCGCCGTGGGATGTGTCCGACCAGCAGGGCCACGGCAGGCGAATATAGCAGGTGAACAGATGAATTGCAGTGAAGATCGAGAGAGAAAGAGAGTCCATGCATATTGTTTGCAGTTAGAGAGAAATGTAGAGCACACGATTCACAGAAAGAAAGAGAGAGAGAGAGAGAGAAAAATAGCGTGTGTGTGCACATCCACACATACCTATAGCATCTGTACTTGTCACAGTAGACTACAGTAGAGAGAAATGGCAGGACAGGAGAAGAGTGGACATGAAGGATAGAAGAGAAGGAGGACTAGGAGAGAGGAGCTGATAGTAGATAGTGGCATGAATACGCATGTGAATATGTGAGAGAAGGAGATCGAGAGAGCGAGAGAGAGAGAGAGAGCGAGGAGAGAGGAAAGGAGAGGGGAGCAGACGATAGGAAAACACATCTCCAGATACAGTGCTGGAGAGTAAGGGAGAGAGTGAGAGCGACAGAGAGACAGAGGGACAGACAGACAGACAGAGAGAGAGAGAGAGAGACAGAGGGACAGACAGACAGACAGACAGACAGACAGACAGACAGACAGACAGACAGACAGACAGACAGACAGACAGACAGACAGAAGACAGACAGACAGACAGGCAGACAGACAGGCAGGCAGGCAGGCAGGCAGTCAGTCAGACAGACAGACAGCCAGACAAATAGAGGGACATAGAGAAAGAGAGAGAGAGAGAGAAAGAGAAAGAGAGCGAGGCAGACAGAGCGGGGAAATAGAGTGAGAGCGAGAGAGAGAGAGAGAGAGAGCCAGAGGAAGAGATGGAGCCAGAGGTGACTCTGGCGGTGGCGACCCAGGGGAATGGGGGGGAGGCAGGGAGGGAGGGGAGGGCCGGGGGGGGGGGACCGCAGGAGGGGGGGAGGGAGGGAGCGGCAAGAAGAGAGGCAGCGGGAGAGATGGATGGGGCGGAGGAGGTGGGCAGGCAGGCGGTCCAGAGAGGACACCGCCCCCCGTGGAGGCGCCGCGGACCCCCCCCCCTCCCCCAGCCCCCAGGTCGGCCTGCAGAACCCCACGGACAACACCACCCTGAACCAGTGGGCCATCGACGTCGGCGCGGAGGCCCCCCCCCGGGGCGCCCCCGCGCCTCCCGGCGCCCCCCTCCCCCTGCGGCGCCCTCCGCCGGCAGCAGCACGAGAGGCGGCCGCCTCTCGCGCGGGAGGGCCGCGGCCCTCCCGCGTCGCGCCCGCCCGCGCCCCGCGCTGCCCGCGGCCCCGCCTCGGGTCCGACCGCCACGGCCGCGGGGCGGGCCCGACTGGGGCCTCCTCCTTCAGCAGCGCCGTACAGGGGGAACGAGCAATGACACGAACATGAAAACGCGGAGGTCCACGCGGATGTCTCGGATCGGCGCTGGAGCCCCCCGGCGGCGCCTCCGCCGCCGCCCCTGGCGCGCTCTGCGCGCCAGGGAGGGGGGCCCAGCGCCGATCCGAGAAACCCGCGCAGACCTCCGAGTTGTTCTTTTATGTTTATGCCATGGTTTGCCCCCCTATCTTCAGTCAGGACGCTGAAGAGAGGACCACGTTGGGCTCGGGAGGGGCCCGGGTTGCCACTGATAAGGGGGCACATGCGAGCCCTACCCCTACCCCCCACGATTTCTGGGGGGGAGGCTGGGGCTCACTTCGCTCCCTCCCCCTCAGAAGTCGTGGGGGGGGTAGGGGTAGGGCTCGCACGTGGCCCCCCTGGCTGAGCCTCTTCGTGGCCGAGGCTCGCCATGTCCAGGAGAGCCCGCCGTGCCTTGTGCAGCAGCCCCCCTTGTGGTACAGGCCTCGGAACAAATCAGCGAACACTCGTGCCACATTCATCCGTCAACGCCTCCCCCTCCCCCCAATGCTCAAAGTTGGCGGTGGGTCTGATGAGATGCACTTCGACCGAAGTCTCCCCCGCGCGTGCCAACATTGAGTTTGGGGGGGAGGGGGAGTGTTCAGTAATTGTTCCCCTCCACCGTTGCACGGTGGCTGCCGAGCGCCGTCGGGCGGCTGGGCTCCCCGCTCGCCTTGCCCTCCTCCCTCCCTCCGCGGCCGCCGGCCTCGAGCGCGGCGCCGCACCGCCGCGACGACGCCGACGTCCTCGCCTCGGGGGGGGCTCTCTGCCTGGGCGTCTCGGGAGGTCCTCGCTGCTGCGTCTGGGCGCAGCTCGGAGAGTTTGCCCACTCGGATGGGCCCTCGGAGGGATCAGGAGACGGATCTTTGGCGGGATGTGCAGGGTGAGGAGGAGGAGGACGAGGAGGAGCAGCAGGAGGAGGGGGAGGGGGAGGGGGAGCAGGAGGAGGAGGAGGAGGAGGAGGAGGAGGAGGAGGAGGAGGAGAAGGAGGAGGAGGAGGAGGAGGAGTACGTAGCCGATGCCGCGCCGCCATGTCCCCGGCGGCGCCCCTGGAGCCGCGGCTGTGTCGGGAATGCGGCCGCGCCTCCGCGCTGGGGCGACACGGAAATTTGGGGACCAAAAGTGCACTCCGAATCGCGCGAGGTGATGCGCCCAACGGCGCGCAGGAAGTCACCCGCAGGGGCGCGAAGGGACCAGCGCGTCGCGCTTCGCGGCCTGGGCTGGAGAGCTGCTCTTCTCCAAGGGGTCGCGCAACAGCGCGAAGACAACGGCGTCTCGCGCGGCGCGAAGCGCGAAGCTTGGTGCACCACACCACCACCAACAACAACAACAACAGTTTGATCGAAATGGATGGGATGTTTTTCAAATGGTCGTTGAGTTGGGGCAGTGGGAAAGACAGCAAATGGACTGCGCCGGCGCAGGAGAGGTACGGGCAACGCACCGGGTCTGCGAGCCGCGCGCCGAAGCGTGCAGGGTTGGGAAATTCTACAGTATTTTTTTCTGCATGGGACGATGCCCGCCCGAGGACGTGCGGCGGGGCACCGACGGGACACCCAAGGATCACCCGCCTCGTCTGGGTCTGCCGCCTGCGGGCCGAGGGGCGCGCGAGACGGGTCCAGAGCCCTTCTCTCAGAATCTAAATCTAACGATCCCAACTTGGCGGGTGGGGAACCTCCTCGCGGGCCTTTGAATATCTGCGCCCGTGCGCACAGAGAGAGAGAGAGAGAGAGATAGCGCGTGCTATTCGCAGTGTCTTCGCTTGCCTTCGCTCAAGTCCTCTGCAGGGCGCAGGCGGGGATGGGGTGAGGAGGGGGGGAGAGGAGGTGAACGCATCAAGGGCAGGGGTGGAGGAAGGAAACGAAGAAGGAACAAATTGCGATACCGAGGAACCCCACATGCCTATTGTAGGTCGTGCGTGGGCATTTCATATTGCACCCTGCCTTGTTCGAACTTGCCATGGGCGTGCGTCGTTGCGATGCAGCGAAGCGTTCGGCACCGATTTCCTGGTGCCACGCCTGCCACGCCCGGCGACCATGGGACGGATAGAGACCGCGCTCAGAGGCCGCCCCCTGCGCACCCGTTGTGGTGTGGAGAAAGTGTCACGCCTGCCACGCCCCGACACCCTGAGACGGATGGAGATCGCGGTTAAGGACCAACCCTTGCGCACCCCTCGTGGTGTGGAGAAGGTGCCACTCCTGCAACGTTTTCCGACCATGGCACGCATAGAGACCGCGCTGAGGGACCACCCACTTGTGCAGACCCTTTGGAGTCGAGAAAGTTCCACTCCTTTGTATGTGTACGCTGTGTGTACGGCTATAGTTGGACGTGTGTATCATGTGGGTGCCGTGTGTGGTGTCGTGCTGGGTATGCCTCTCCTCTTCCCTCTGTCACACGGCGCGATAACAACACGCAGGCGTACATACACACATCATACATACACGCACCTGCAGCCGCACGCGCACCATACAACGCTAGTTTACAACTGGCGCGTTTAATGAAGCATACATCAGACGCGGCGCAATACCATACAGCACTCTTCTTCCACCCTCATATACGCATCATTTATACGCACACAATACATACTCACACATGCTTCGCACAATGGGGGGACGCGGGTGGGACGCGGGTGGACAGAAGTCAAGAATTCAACTAAGCATGTGGGGGACAACACGCAACACTTATAATGACAACTGGGATTTGCTCCCCTCCTCTCCTCAGTTCACCCCTCCTTCTTGTCCCATTCGGTCTTTCCTTGCCCATCCTTCCCGCCGCTCCTTTACGCACTGTTGCTCAATTCCGCGCACTTCCGCGCACTTGTGCTTATTTAAGTGTTCATGAGTTGAATCACTTGTGCTTACCCATGCGACCACCTTGCGGGTGATAAGGAGGTTGGGGGGGGAGGGGGGCCAGCAATGGGCAACAGTGGTGATTGTGCTACCGGTCGTTCTCAATATCGGTCTCATCGATCTAACTATCGATACTATTATCGATATAACTACCGATCTCAGCACGTGAAACCACGGGACACCAACGGGACACCGATGGGACACCGACGGGACACAATCGATCTCACTGTCGAGCTCACTATCCATCCCACGATCGATCCCACTATCGATCTCGCTATCGACCTCACTATCGATCTCGCTTTCGATCTCACTATTCATCTCACTATCGATTCCACTATCGATCTCGCTATCGATCCCACTCGATCGATCTCACAATCGATCTCACTATCAATATCACGATCAATCTTACTATCGGAGGTTGGGGGGTGAGATCGAAGTGGAACGGAGAGCCCCCCTACCGGGAAATCGATTTCGGTTTCGTGTTCGTGCGTGCCGTGCGGGCGAGGCGAAGCTGCGTGGGCGGGCGAGAGAAAGTCTCCTGTGGCTGAGACGCGGCCGGACCAAATGACTCCCTTCCGGGCGGCCGGGGCCCCGCGGTGTCCCGCCGGTGTCCCGCTGGTGTCCCGTGTGGCTGAGGCGCGGCCGGACCAAATGATTCCCTTCTGGGTGGCCGGGGCCCCGCGGTGTCCCGCCGGTGTCCCGCTGGTGTCCCGTGTGGCTGAGGCGCGGCCGGACGAAATGATTCCCTTCCGGGCGGCCGGGGCGGCGTGGTGTCCCGCCGGTGTCCCGCCGGTGTCCCGTCTGTGTCCCGTCGGTGTCCCGATGATGATGTTGATGATGATTATGATGATGATTCTGATGATGATAGTGATGATGATGATGATGATGATGATGATGGTGATGATGTTGATGATGGCGATGATGATGATGATGATGATGATGATGATGATGATGCTGATGATGTTGATGTTGATGATGATGATGATGATGATGATGATGATGATGATGATGATGATGATGATGATGATGACGTCGATTGCGAGATCGAATGTGATATCGGTAGTGAGACCGAATGTGAGATCGATTGTGCGATGCCGATGGTGATGATGGCCTTCATGGTGTTGATGTTTGTGATTATGATGACGACATTGATGATGATGATGATGATGATGATGATGGTGATGCTGATGATCATGATGAATACGATGATGATGATGATGCTGATGATGATGATGATGATGATGATGATGATGATGATGATGATGATGATGTTGATGATGGTGATGTCGATGATGATGATGACGACGTGGATAGTGATATCGATTGTGAGATCGGTAGTGAGACCGAATGAGACAGCGAATGAGGTCTCCTCTCAGGTTCTCCTCCACCACGCACCCCTCGGTTCTGGACCTCTCCTTTTCCCTCCTCCTCCCCATCTTAGCTTCCTCATCCTCCGAGGGTCTTGGGGGCCATGTTCGTCGATCCTCGGTCGTCGATCCTCGGTCGTTGCTGGACCGGGCTGCCGAGTGAGATCGATAGTGCAAGAGGGGGCGCGGGCTGCGCCAAGCTTTGCCAGCGCTTCAGTCTTCTGTGGCCAAATGGCGCCGTTAGCTGCCGTTGCGCAAGTTGGGCAGGTTCCCAGGGGGAGGGCCGAATGGTACCAAGGCGTCAAAGAGCGAAGGGTGACGTAAACAACTCGACACCAACGCTCCCAAGAGCGAGCGGCAACGCAACTATCTCTACTGGCATTGTCACAACAACATTCACCACTGTTGCCCATTGCTGGGCCCCTCCCCCCCCAACCTCCTTATCACCCGCAGGGTGGTCGTATAGGTAGGTATCACTACCGATCTCTCACTATAGATCTCACTATCGATCCCACTATCGGTCTCATTATCGATCTCACTATCGATCTCTCACTATCGATCTCACTGTCGATCTCACCACGGGACACCACGGGACAACGACGGGACACCGGCGGGATACCAGCGGGACACCAGCGGGACACCGGCGGGACACCGCGCGCCACCGGTTGCCGGGCGGAGAACCTTTTGGTCCGGCCGCGGCCCAGCCACGACTGGACACCGGCGGGACACCAGCGGGACACCAGCGGGACACCGGCGGGACACCGCGCGCCACCAGTTGCAGGGCGGAGAACCTTGTGGTCCAGCCGCGGCCCAGCCACAGGAGAATTTCCTCTCCCCCGCCCACGCAGCTTCGCCTCGCCAGCACGCACGGCACGAACACGAAACCGAGATCGATTTCCCGGTAGGGGGGCTCTCCGTTCCACTTCGATCTCACCCTCCAACCTCTGATGTTTGCGCACTTCTGTTCACTATTGTGCAGTCCTGCGCACTCTTGCACGCTTCTGCTCACTCTGGACCCGCTGCTGCGCACTCTTGCACACTTCTGCGCACTCCTGTGCAAAATCGTTCTGAGAAAACAAACCATGAGTTTCATTCTAACCGCCAGTGCCTTCTCCTCCTCCCTTCCCAGCAAAGAGGAGAGGAGGAGAGGGGCGGAGTGGAGGGGGGCGAGTGATAAGGCGCCGCTGGTGCGCAACCTCCCCGGCCACTCAGGAGAGCCTGGCACGGCATACGAGTCGGAGTGGTACTGCCACCGCTGCTGGGACGCCTGGGACTGGGACTGCTCGGCCGCGCCCGCCGCGGCCGCGCCAGAGGACGAGGCCCAGCTGCCGTGCCAGGGCTCGCTGGCGCAGGCCCTGCGTCGCTACTCCAGCGACAGCTCCGTCTCGTTGCTCGGCCTCCGCGGCCTATCGCCCAGATGCCGGAGGTTCCTCGCCGCGCCGGCGCCGCACGGCGCGCCGCGGGCGGCAGATTGCGGCAGCCGCGGGCGCGGGATGTGCGCGCTGCGGGTGGCCGAGGGGCTCGAGCCGCGAATCCTGGCCCTCCGCGCCGAGCTGCTGCCCCAGCTGCTGCCCCAGCTGCTCTCGGAGGGCCCTGCGGGGACGGGGGGCACTGGCGCCGGTGGCGGCGGTGGCGAGGCGGGTGTCGGGGCGCTCGCGGAGGCGCTGGCCTCCAGCCGCTCTTTTGCGCGCTTCTGGGTGGGGCCAGAGCGCGGCCCGTTCCTGCTGCCCGCGCTGCGCTGCGTCAAGCAGTCGCTGCCGCTCGAGGACGTCGTGTCTGGGCTCGCGGAGGCAGCTCGCCCTGGACGCAGGAAGCATTACGAGTCGGCCCTCACGCTCACTGACGGGCTGGACTTTCGCTGCCCAGTGGCGCTCCCGCCGATCGGCACCCTGGCCCAGCTGATGGAGGTGCTGAACTACGGGACGGTTTTCCTGAACACTGCGTCCCTGCACTGGAAGTCACTCGCGCAGATCTGCCTGGCAGCCAGCCGCGCGCTGCACTTCCCCACCAACATCAACGTCTACGTCACGGGAGGGGGCCGCGCGATCTCCACGGACGTGCACACGGACAACCACGACGTGCTCATCTTGCAGACAGAGGGTGCAAAACGTTGGACTGTTTACCCGCCGCCCCAGCGAGCGCCAGGCAAGGCCCACCCGCTGTACCGCGGGAAGGAGGAGGACAGGCTCCTGGCGTCAGAGCTCGCAGAGCCGCTGTTGGAGGTGGTGCTCAGGCCGGGGGAGGTGCTGTTCATCCCCATGGGCTTCCCGCACGCCACCAGCACACAGATGCCCGAGCCGGCGACGCAGCCCGACGCGGTGGCCGCGGACGCGGATGGCAGCGTCTCCGTGCATTTGACGCTGGGCATCTCGGCGGCGGACCACGACTTCTGCCTGGGCGGGCTCCGGCGCAGCCTCCTCGAGAGGTTGGGCGAGGGCGCCGCGCTCGACGAGCCCGCGCTCGCCGACGGGGCCTTCTGGGAGCTGTGGTCGCCCACCCCCGCTGGCTGCCTCCTGCCCGCAGCCCTGCGCTCTGGCGTGCCACAGCCGGCCGCCAAGCTGGAGGGCGGAGGGAGGAGGAGGGGTGAGGGAGGAGGAGGGGGACGAGGAGGAGGAGGAGGAGGAGCAGGAGGAGGAGAAGGAGGAGGCGGAGGAGGAGGAAGAAGAGGAGGAGGATGGAGGAGGAAGAGGAGGAGGAGGAGGAGGAAAAGGATGAGGATGGAGATGGCAATGGAGATGGAGAAGGAGATTGAAGAGGAGGAGGAGGGGAGAAGGGAGGAGGAGGGAGGAGAAGATGAGGGAGTCGATTGAGGTTGGAGGAGGGAGGGGGGGAGGTGGGGAGTGAGGGAGGAGGGAGGCGGAGCAACCTGGCGTAGCGGCCTGCTCGGCTGCTGGGCTTCCTCGCGCGGGCGGAGCCGCAGCGCTGGCGGGGCGTGCTCTCGCCAGGGGCGGCGGAGGCGCCGGCTCTGTGGCGCGCCGCAGCGGAGGCGGCGGCCGCACTGCTGGCGCGGCAGGCCGCCGCGGGCCGCCTGGTGCAGTAGCATTCCCTCTCCTCCTCCTCCCTCCTTCCTCCTCCTCCTCCTCCTCCTCCTCCTCCTCTCCTCCACCTCCTCCTCATCCTCCTCCTCTCCTCCTCCTCCTTCCTCCTCCTCCCTCCTCCTCCTCCATCTCCTCCTCCTCTCCTCCGCCTCCCCTCCTCCTCCTCCTCCTCGTCCTCCTCCTCCTCCCTCTCCTCCTCCTCCTCCCCTTCCCCCTCCCCTCTCTCCTCCTCCTCCTCCTCCTCCGCCTCCTCCTCCTCCTCCTCCTCTTCCTCCTCCTCCCCTCCTTCTCTCCTCCTTCCTCCTCCTCCTCTCCTCCTCCTCCTCCGGCCCCTCCCTCCTCCTCCGCTTCCTCCCTCGCTGGGGCCCAGGAGGAAGTGCATTCCTTCTCCTCCATCTCTCCTCCTCCTCCTCCATCCTCCTCCTCCTCCTCCTCCTCTTCTCTCCTCCTCCTCCTCCTCCGCCTCCTCCCTCCTTCTCCTCCTCCTCCTCCTCCTCCTCACTCCTCACTCCTCACTCCTACTCCTCATCCTCACTCTCACTCCTCCCTCCTCCTTCTCCCCTCCTCCTCCTCCTCCTCCTTCTCCTCCTTCTCCTCTCCTCCTCTCTTCCTCCCCTCCTCCCTCCTCCTCCTCCTCCTCCTCCTCCTCCTCCTCCTCCTCCTCCTCCTCCTCACTCCTCCTCCAGTCCCAGCACCCCTCCCTGAGGCGTACGAGGAGGTCGCCGCTGCGCCGGGCGGGGTCTTCATGGCCGCCGGGCCCAGGGATCGGAGCAGGGTAGTGCTGGGATGACCGCGGGGGGGTGCTCAGAGGAGTGGGGGGTTGCAAGCGGGTGCCAAGGTGGTGACATCTGGCCCCGCCTATCCCCTGAGCGACCCCCGCGGTCATCCCAGTGGAGACAACGGCGGCTCCAAATCGGTCCCCGGACTCCTCCCTGGGTCCAAGCGTACCAGCTTTCCGAGCTGCGTCCAGGCGCGGCGTTGTCTCAGCCGGCCCTCCTCTGAGAGGAGAGCCGCAGCTCGTTCCGGCGGGGTACGCTGGAGCATCAGGCCCAGGAAGCCAGCCGCAAGCGCCAGCGCGCCGCGCCCCGCGACGAGCGCTTCGTCCGTCGGGTGGACCCCGCGGACGGCGCGGCGCGCACACGGCCCGAGCTGCGGGCCGCGTACGGCGGCCGGGGCTGGAGCGCCACGGAGGTGGACGCCTATTGGGAGGAGCGGTGCCAGCCACTGTACCCCAACGACGAGCCTCGAAGAAGAGAAGCTGGCACAGCCATACGGCTCA